GAAGAGGAAGATACAGAAATTATGAGAGACCCAGAGGAACTTGCACAGAGGGACTAATTTCTGTCCATCTTCCCAATTTTGTATACCCAAAGACTTCTTTATTTCATATTTTTCTTATTTAATGATAGCAGTCAGATAAAAAGAATGTAAAGGATTTACAAACATTTTTAAAAAGTAAGAGAAAAGCAAACCATTTCACTGATTACTCTTGGTTTCTTGGATTCAATATCTCTGTTCTCTGTCACAGCCAGGCCACCTGGTCCAGCTGCTTGTCTGCGAGAAGCTGACTGTTTACATGGCAACTGATGTATTGATAAATTAAGGAAAGTGCCTGAATGCAGACACAAATGCAGCACTTTTATCTCCATACAGTTTCCCTCCTTCCAATATTCTCCACCCCATGCTTTCCTGGTTTCCATAATGCCTCCTCCAAAAAGGAAATTGGCTTTCAGAAAGCAGTTAATCTTTCCAACAAAAACTTCATTGGAGAAAGATGGTTCCCTCCCACCCTCAAGGAGCCCATTTAATTTCTCCTGGAAGTTAGCCACATCTCTGGCTGAGTTTAAATGATGACTTCCAAATGTCTTTAAAGTGTCCAAAATAAAAATGATAAAACTAGGGATTTGGTAGCCCTTAACATTCCCAGACCTATTCCTTAAAAACAGAGATTTTACAGATATCACTTGCCCATAATTTTTGTTCTCTAGTATGGGACCCAGTATCTGTTATGAGATTGGCTAAGGGTGACAATTTATGAACAGGTAAGGCAAAACAAACAAATATACAAAACCCCACAAACCTCCTTTGGAGGCCACTCTTAGAAAAAGTACTTGATGCCACAGTACACACAGTAGTCACACAAGTCAAGCCATGGAAGAGGCTGCAGAGCCTAGCAACAAATACCAGTTGAGCACCCATTTTGTGCCACAAACAGTGCTAAACACTGGGGAAATGGTAATGAACCCGACAGACACAATCTCTGCCATGTCAGTGTAGCAGGAAGCCATTTATAGCACAGACCAGAATGGAGATGAAAGAAAATTAGGGATTTGGGAAATATAAATCTGATTCAAACATTTCTAACATTTTAAATATAGAAAATATATAAATCTGCAAAAGTTTAATAATATCACCTTGGAATTAGGATGGTAATTTCAAATTTTAAAGTGAGACAATATTTTTTTTAGGTACTACACATTGTCCTGTAAATAAGTAACAATTGGCAAGGCAAAACCTCCAGACTATTTTATTGCCCAGATTCTTAATTTTTAGCATCATAACAAATTAAATTCTGAAGAAAAGATGGTTTTCAGACATTATCCAACCAAGATATAGTGATGATACACTTCAGAGCTAAAAGCTGTATATTTCCAGATAAGCCTTTTTAAAATGTCACATCATTCAATTAATGCACATTACTTAAAACCTCTGAGCTCATCCTTCCAGTGCTGTCCAACAGAACTTTCTGTGATGATGGAAATGTTCTGTCTCTGCACCATCCAATTCAGTAGCCCACACAGAGTTATTGAATACCTGAAATGTGGCTAGAGAAACTGAGGAACTAACTTTACAATTTTCATTAATCTGAATTAGTTTAAATTTCAATAGCCACATGTGGACCGTATTGAACAATGCAGGTCTAGATCACATGCTATTTGTCTGTGTTTTCTTCCCACTGTGCACACATAGAAGGGGACAACTACTGATTTTTATNTGCAAATTTGGTCCTAAACTGGAGGTGATTCTGTGAGTGTCAGGGAAAAAAGTTCTCTTCCTTTGGATTAAGTCATTCTAAGTTAAGAAATTATTTAAAAATTGAATAAGTCAGAAAAATCTCTATATTAACAGGACTGTGAATAAACAGCAAAATAAAGATTAGTATCTGATTTAAACAAAACTCAAGAACGCAATGTCCCTCTCTGACCTGACGAAATTGAAAAACAACACAAAACAAAAAGGCATATTTGGTTGAAACTCTTTTAAAAACCATAGCTTCTTATTCAAGAAAAATAATCCAAGATGTACACACTTAAATTAATCAGCATTTTAAAATATTTTTAAATGTCCTCTGTTCTGGTAGTGATTGTTCATTCATTTATTTAATGCCTGCAATGTGGAAAGCATTTTGTTTATAGGATTATTATTCTCCTAATATACTACAGCAAAATATCCCCCAAATAGCCACATTTAATCTACTGCATTTGAAGTGATTTAATTTCCAGCAACTTCATATATAATTGCTTCATTTTGAGTTAGGAAATAGTATAATCAAATGATTACTCACTTTTTTGGATTTGACTGCAAACTTGAAGTTCAAATATATTACTGCTTTAAAATGCATAGCATATACCTCCAGAAAATGAAACCCACATTAACATATCTTTCTAAGAGGTGACTAATACATATTATAAGTACCTAAAATGATACGCATAAAATTTTTGTAGTAAAAACAGTTTGATTAAAACTCATTTTCTTGAATTAGAATTTAACCTAAGAATTCCTAAGAAGTCATTGAAAATATTTAGATTTAATCAAAATCCATCCTGTTTAGTTATACCAAAATCGATTTTAATTACGTATATGAAAATCATGTCTGAATGTTTGGAATCTGGGAAAGTAATTCATTATTTCAACAAACATTTACTATGCACCCACTATGTGTTAGACACCATGCTTAACACCAAAAAGTGACATTCTCTCCAAAACAAGTCCAGGAAGAACATCAAACTGCACATTGAAGGAAACATTATTGGTTGTCCAGATCAACTGATGAACACTGCTAATGACAGGTGTAAACCACTAAAGTGATCCTTTCTTTGACTTCAATACATATGTAAGCACAGAAAACGACAATATATCATATCACAATTTGCTGTACTGACACTACCATATTTTGCTTTGGGCCAACAAGATAATACATGTATAGGTATACAGTGTACACTATATACCAACAAAACAAGTTATATAGGAACTTAAGAAAAACACTCTGAAGTATTTACTGGTCACTTTGATTGGGCCTTGTTCTAAAAGTCCCAATCCAGTAAGATCCTGACATCATACTAAATAATTTTTTAAACAATAAAAAAGTATACAAGGAGTAAACCCAATTTTTAAAATGTAATATATACACCTGAAAAGAATGATAATTCACCCAAATCTGAGTGGTAAAATTACAGATGATTTTTATTTTATTTTAAATTTCCATATTTTCCAACCTTTCTATAATGATCGTACATTACATTTATAATCAGTAAAAATTACATGTATGTTACGTACAGTAAGCAAACAAACAAATTGTTCTTACAACCTTTCCAAACCCTGTGTCTAGTATGGGCCAGGGCAAGGTCTCTCATAGGGAAGCAGGTATGATCTTAGAGGGCTGATGCAGAAGGCCCAGGTGTCAACCCAACTGGCTAATGACTGGAAACCCTTTATGAAGAGACCAAAACTTTCATAACTAAAGTTAAATTTAAATGAATATTCCTGAGGAGAAGGGAAAATAGAAACACGTGTTTCCAGCTCTAGGGCCTAGTTAGGTCACTCAACAAATGCAGTCTGCCTTCTGGTGATATTTGATTCCATAAAACATCTATGCTTAAACATTTAGTAATGAACATTTAAAGAACTATTTCTAAACATGAGATCATTTTGATAAGTAACACTTTTTTTCTAATTACAAAAATAGCATAATGTTCTTTGTAGAAAACCCAGGAAGTATGAAAAGCTGGAGAATAAAATTAAAATAATCTATAATCCCATCACCCAGAGGCAACCACCATGAGCACTTTAGTATATAACCTTCTAGTAATTTATTCTAGGCATGTGTGTGTATCCTGCTTTTTCACTTAATATTATATCCTGGGCATTTTCTTATGTCATTAAATATGCCTAGTAAACCTTATTCTAATGACTGCTTAATATTACTAATAGTAATATTAAGCCAGGTGTAGTGGCTCACGCCTGTAATCCCAGCACTTTGGGAGGCCAAGATGTGCGGATCATGACGTCAGGAGATCAAGACCATCCTAGCTAACATAGTGAAACCCCGTCTGTACTAAAAACACAAAAAAATAGCCAAGTGTGGTGGCATGCACCCGTAGTCCCAGGTATTCAGGAGGCTGAGTCAGGAGAATTGTTTGAACCCGGGAGGCAGAGGTTGCAGTGAGCCAAGATCACACCACTACACTCCAGCCTGGGCAACAGAGCAAGACTCTATCTCAAAAAAAAAAAAAAAAAAAATCCTGTTTTGGATAAACAATATTATTGCATTTACTATGGACCTAACTTATCACAAGAACAGATGCAAAATGTATCTGATATTTGAAAAAACTAGCCAAGGGATTTTTGGAATTAGTGATCTCTCGGAGATATAACTAACATCAGTATTTTGATTCCAAAATTGATTTTCTTCTGTTCAGACACCTAAAATCACCCATATTGTGCACCATAACTCACTCACATATTTTCCAAAATACAGTCTTAAGATTGGAAAACCACAACTCCCTAAGAAATATTAGCCAGTAAAGCACTTGGTAAATTTATTTTCTTCCCACGTGTAAGCCAGGGCAGGCCCTCCAACCCAGGCTCTGCCTGACGGAGCAAGGCAAGTCAACCACCGAACTTAAAGGAAACACTAAAGTAAGTAAAACAGAGACAAAATTATCCCTAGCACAAGCTTTGGTTTCTGAGTAAGTTCATTTGTTCATCTTTCAAACTAAGTAAAGAAATAAACTATTATTTTTTCTGAGAAAATTTCCATTCAGAAGCTCCATAAAACAACTGCATTATGGGCTTGCCCTCCTAAAATATCAGCATGGCATATGTCTGCTAAGCAAGAGTTCTGAAAATTATTTCACTCAGCATACTAATCACAATTCATTTGAAGTGCAGGAGAGGAAAATTATATATAAAAATATGCAATTTTTATTTAAATTATCTTAACGAAATTATGGAAATTTCGTTTCCAATTATCTTTGGTAGTTCGGAGATCCTTTCCTTACCTGTAAGGCAGCTTAGGACCAGAAAGACCTTCCAAAATGCGAACACCATTGTGTGGAGAGCAGCAGGTGCCAGTAGCTTGCCTGGACTAGGCTGAGCCTCAAATTGGCTTCTTCAATCACAGCAAGGTTTGCCAGGCTTATCTGCTGGGCATCGCCAAGCAAATATGCCTCTTTGGGCTTCCTTACTGTGTATAGACCTTTCTCAGAACAGATTTGTGTTACTTTGAAACACTTTTCATGGGGCGTGTTTCCTTGATATATTTGCTGCTGTGTTAATAATAAACCCACGCATTTAAATTATTCAAACTCCTTGTACACAGATTCTCTAAGTCTCATTGTTTAAAATCAATCTTACTAAAAAGTTGTACTTGGGCTGAGGGATACAGTTGAAAGGGAGTCTATGCAAATAAAAGCTGACAATGCTAATTAATTTCAAATATTTCCATGAGTCTTAGAGCATTGATTCACTAACCTCATTTTACAAATTAAGTTAGTAAATTGGTACTAGGTTTCCTGTGGAGATGAGGTTCACAGGAAGGGCACAGGGGTTATGAAGTTAAAAACTATTCATTTCTGTGTGAACAAACTCCGGACATGTTACTCTTTTTTGAACCGCTGGCAATTGTCACTACCCTCCACCAAAACTAGCAATAGAATGAATTACAGTCTTGTCTCTCGAGTTAGAAACCTTATAGCACGTATCTGCTAACCTAATTTTGCAAAATTAAGTTAGTGAATATACGCTTAAAGGCTTCCATTGGAGAAGTCTGAATTTTTGCAGAATTAAGTTATTCAATAGATGCTATAGGGTTTCCTTAGAAATGGAGGTTCACCAGGAGGGCATGGGAGACTCCACAGGTAAGGAAGTTTCATGGGAACATGAACTTCTAATAGTGTTTCTTTTATGCTTAAGTTACCCGGAGAAACCTAAGGACTTTCTCTGGCTCATCCCATGTGATTTTTAAGTCCGATCATTTCCAACTCAATAGCGACTCTCAGATGTGTTCCTTCTCCAATCTGCTACTGCTTCCCTCTTGGTCCAGGTACTCAGCTCCTCACTCCTGGCCTATCAGCAGCTTCCTAAGTGGTCTCCCTGACTTCTTCCGCCTTCATCCTGTGTGCCAGCTGCAGGCCAATGTTCCAGCCCTAATGAAACATTTCCAGTAACACCATATATGGACTCTTTCATCAAATCCAAAGTCCTTAATATGGATTCCCATTCTTCCCAGATCTGATCCTCACCTCATCTGAACTTTAGCCACATTAAATCGTGCCCTTGAAAATATATGTCAAGATTTATTGCCTCAAAGTGTTCAGTCACCTGAAATGTGTACAAGTTTCAAGTTATATATTTTATGAACTTCAATTTACAGGAAATGTTTGACCCCATCTTACTTTAGCCATGCCAATGTCCCACTGCTTCTTAGAAAGCCATTTTGCTTCCATCAGGCCTGATTCCTCCTCGAAGCTTATCCTGCCCGTGCTCATGTCTGATGCCAAACGTTGGCTCCAGGTGACTTCCATCACTATTTAGTATTTTCTCTTTCCTCCTCTTACTATCCAAGGATATTCTTGGCATAGATCAGTCACACTGTCCTATGGGAGAATTCTAATGAACTGACATACCACCCCTAGCATAAATTTGCATTTTACTTAAAGTCAATATCCTACAGCTGACAATTGATTATTCTCCAGTAGTTTCCTATTTATTAACTGGTCTCTCTTAAATCTAGTGACTGTGAATTCCTCCAGGGTAGGGATCATGTCTTATAAAGGCAGTTCCCAACTTTAAAATGAGTGTGTCCCAAGATGTAGTGATAAACTCATTGATTGGACCCAAGAACTCCTGCAGAAGCAATATTATAATACAAGTCTCACTGTCAGGCATGTAGCACATAATCTAGCACTGGCTTCGATTCTGTGTACTGGGCTATATAATGCAGTGGAGGATGAGGAGGAACAGCAGGTGACAGAAAAAGTACGTTCCTTTCATTTCCCAAGATAATGAGTTGTGCACAAGTCAGTATTTTCTCCCAAATAACTATTGTATGTCTCTGACATCCACCTTCCCTTCTGCCTCCTACCTTCATGGCCCCCTGGCCCTCTGGGTCCTTAGTTTGCCCTAAGGGGAGTCTCACTCCCCAGAATACCTCATGCTCCAAAATGACTTTATCCTTTTCATCCCTCTTTCTCCCAAAAACACTCTCTTTCCCCTGTATATGCAGACATCAGCTCCATGTCAGGAGAAGAAAAAAAATCACTTTCGTTGAACATTCCCCAACCTGTTTGTGCTATTAAAAATACAATGTTTATTTTCCTCAAATAAATCTCTGACCAGAAGGATTAGGCAATGCAATAAAGAAACAGTTTGAGGGAGAAGATTTTGCAAAGGAGGACAACTTGTAGGGTGGGCCTCTGGAGCTCCACACCACCTCTTCTCAGGCTTGGTTCTTCCTTGACTTCTAAGTCCAACAAGTCTCCAAAAGACCCACAGTTTTCACAATGTCCCCTCCCTAGAAGTAATACTGACATTTCCAGTGGTGAGGAGGTGGGATGGGGAAAGAAACTTGTAAGTCTGGCATTTGCAAGCCAGAGTCTTCCTGTGTTTCCTTCCATACCCTGCAGGTGATTATAGTAGAGTGACCATTGATCATTAAAAGTAGGACACTTTTGAGAGGGAAAGGGGCACTATTAGCAATTACATGGGAAAGACAGCAAAAACAGTAACAGTGCCAGACAAACCTGGGTGTCTGGTCACCTACCCACAGGGGATTACAAAGCACAAAGTAGGTGCTAAGTAAGAGCTTGCTAATTAATTTAGTATCTCCAAGTTCTTTGGCCCTAAGTTGAGTGCAGTGGAGGGTATGGTTTAAGGATATTGCCCAAACCCATCTGCACCAAAATCTTATGCAAACACAAAACACTCCAGAATAATTAAGATATCTACACCGTTGCTATGTAAGACCTAACCAGGACAGGAAGAATTCTGTTACAACAAATTTTAAAAGAGACTTTAAATTCTCTGCTTGAACCTGAATTTTGAGGTTATGAACTATTACTTTAAAGAGTGGGCCATTAACTAGGATGTGAAATATTAAATATCCTTTGCATTTTACAGAGCTTTATAATTTTCAAACCAATTTTACATTTTATCTTTGCAACTTTCCAATACAATAAATAAGTCAGGTATTACCTAGATTTTCTATATAAGAAAATTGAGGCTCAAAATTTTCCCCTGTGTGTTTCCCAAGGTCACCATAGCATGCATTAGAAGCTGTTCCTATCACACTACGGAGGCACAGTGTGATTATAATGCAACAAATATGCTACTGCCCCCAGGATTCTTCCCTGGGAACTTTCAGAAATATGTGGTATCTGATTTCTCCCTCATTTTTTAACTTAAAAATTACAAAAGTAATACATTTTGATAGCAAATGGGTTTCAAAGGACAAAGAAGGATACAGAGGAAAAATGTCCCATTCATTCACTCACACATGTAATCCCTTACCCACGCTCAGAAGCAACAGGACTTTAGCATTTTTCTCAGACCTTTTTCTATGCATATACACATGCACACGCACACACACACACAGAGGAGGTTTTTTTTAAACATAAAGATGATCATACTATACATACTTCCCCTCTCACTTTGTTCTAGCCATACTGCTCTTCTTGTTGAATCTTCAACTAGGCCGGCACATGCCCACTTTTAAAAAGGCATTTATGACTGCATATTATTCCATAGTGTATATGTGCCACATTTTCTTTATCTAGCCTATCATTGATGGGCATTTGGGTTGGTTCCAAGTCTTTGCTATTGTAAATAGTACTGCAATAAACATACGTGTGCATGTGTCTTTATAGTAGAATGTTTTATAATCCTTCGGGTATATACCCAGTAATGGGATTGCTGAGTCAAATGGTATTTCTGGTTCTAGATCCTTAAGGAATCACCACACTGTCTTCCACAAGGAGACCATGTCCTTTGCAGGGACATGGATGAACCTGGAAGCCATCATTCTCAGCAAACTAACACAGGAACAGAAAACCAAACACTGCATGTTCTTACTCATAAGTAGGAGTTGAACAATGAGAACCCCTTGGGCAATCACAGGGTCACTGAGTCTTTGTTACTTTTTCCAACTGCTTGCCACACATCTCCTCTCAGGGGGCCCTTGGCACTTCAAATTCCACCTCACACATCACTCTCTCTCCCCACACCTGCAAACCTGTGCCACTTTCCAACCACTGTTGCTGGTGCCCTCATTATAATAGCCCTTCACTGCAGTATTCTTTGACTTGTACTTTTAGTCACCCACTATTACACCAGTATCAGTTCCTACTGAGGATAGATCTGAAACTTCTCTTCAGTCCGTCTCCTTTCCATCTCATCTGCCACACTGCCACACTTCAGCCCCTGTTATCTCTCATTTAGACAGTTGCGGTAGCCTCTTAGACCATCTCCTGGCCTCCAAACTTCCTACTTGTCATTCATCCTTTATAATCCTGCCAGATTATTAGTTTTCCTAAAGTCAAATTTTATCCTTATACTAAAAAATCTTCCATGACTCCTCATCATCCTTTTCCTTAGACATAAACATTTTATTCTAGCATTTAACTGGTACCCAACTGGCCTGTCTCGTCTATTTTCTATTTGTAACAACACAAGAAAATGTCAGAGCTGGCAGAAGTCTTAAAAGTGGTCTCCAGACAAAACTGAATACTCTCTGTTACCTGAATGTATCCTCACTTTTCCACCCTTGTGCCTTCATATAGGCAATTCCATTCCCTTCTCCTAGATTACCCACCCCACTAAGTCTAATTGTCAAAAATTCTACTCATCCCGGGAGACTCACCACAATTGTTCACTCTTCCATGGATTGTCTACTGATCCCTACAGGATGCGATCTCACATTTACAGCACAATTTGATACCTCTCACACAACACTTAGAGTAAGCTGGGCACAGTGTCATGTGCCTGTAGTACCAGCTACTCAGGAGGCTGGGGCAGAAAGACAACTGAAGCCCAGTTTAAGGATATCATGAGCAACACACTGAAACTCCCATCCCTAAAAAAGCAGGTGAAGTGTATGTCCTAGCTGTTCATGTACTGGCCCTCTGTGTGGCTCTAAGACAGCAAGCTTTTAAGGAGGTTAGGGACTGGGTTTTAGTGATTTTACATGCACATATGCACATGTGCTTGTTTTGGGCCAGGTATTGTGCTAAGTTATTTATACACATTACCTCA